AGCAGTTTAAGAAAATTACCTTAAATAATATAAATATATCTGTTGAGAATTCAGAATTTTCAGAATGAATGTGAAATGGAAATGTAAAAGCTTTAATGTGAAAATGTCCTATATTTCTTATATTCTATAAAACTCAATTGAACTTATTTATTTTTATTTTTAATTTTCTTAAACCTCACCCAAGGATATTTTTCCATTGCTTTTCAGACAGTGGGAGGGAAGGAGAAAGACAGAGAGAGAAACATCGATGTGAGAGAAACATCAATTGGTTGCCTCCCGCATGACCCCACTAGGGCCGGGAATCAAACTGAAATCGAGGTACGTGGCCTTGACTGGAATTGAACCCCTCGACTCTTTGGTCCTTGGACCTACGCTCTAACCACTGAACCAGATTGGCCAGGGCTGAACTTATTTATTTCTTTTTTGATTAAATTTTTTTTTTTAAATTTAAAACTATTCAACACAAGCTATCCCTCCAGCTTTACTGAGGAGGTTGACCATGTTCACAAACAAATCCGCCTCTAAACTGGAATTTGGTTGCTGACTCAGCCCCAGCTTTCTTGTCAGCTCCATCGGGCATAGTGCTCCTTCTGTAGTCTGTAAGTGTCTCTGTTGGCTTCCCCTCTTGTGAGTCTTGCCGGTTGCATGCCCTCCAGTGTTTTTGGGCCTTGGCCTGCCACTCTCAGGCCAGCCACATGCAGAGTAGCAAGCAAGATCTGAGAGGATAGGTGGATATAATCCTGGAGATACTGGATGCCCTCATTGGTAAAGTAGCAGTAGAAATGTCTCCAGGCAAACTTCCTTCACGAGGGTCTGTGATTTGAGAGAGTGCATGACCTTCATGATGTGAAGATTTGGCACATTCTTGTCTGTAAGCTGTGAGTATTTAGGCATGTGAACATCCTTCTTGGGCACCATCTCTCCCTTCTTAAAAAGGAGTTCATAAGTGGCAATCCAGTTCTTCTTGGGTGTCAACATCGCAGTGGCTGTAGTGTCGGGGCCAGAGCTGGAAATGAAGGGGCTAAAACCCAACTGAATTTATAATTTAGAAGTTCATAACTTAAAGCCAAAATAAAAACTCTTTGTTGTTCTCTTTATTTCATATGTAATGAATGACCTTACTTGCCCTGAACTCATTGATGCCAGAAACCACATAACTTACTTTACTCTAAAAAATTTGTTAACACCCTTAATAAGTAACAGAAAATTGGGAGCCTACTATGTGTTCACTAAGTCTGTGATTTAATAATACGTTAAATCGGAGTAGTTGGGGAGAGGGGCCAGTTTAATGAATAATACAAAATTTAAATCTATTGAAATATATCCACCTAAACCAGATGAACAGAATGTTGCCTAAGTGGAGCTCCTGAATCAAGTTGGTGGATGAAGTCTAACTTCATTTTAGAAGGAAACTCTAATCCTTCCTGTCTGACTCATTGTGGTTCTTAAGACCCTTTAGTAGATAATCAGTGATCTGGCATATGAGCATCTTATTGCTGATTGGCTACTCCATGTATATTATATGTTTCTAGTAAATAAAGTGAAAATGACCTGTTTGCTGATGAGAGACATTTCTGTATGTCTCTTGTTTATCATGTTAAACAAATTTAAGCATTAAGAATTAATTTGCTTAGCCCTGGCCGGTTTGGCTCAGTGGTTAGAGCGTCGGCCTGCAGTCCAGAGAGACCCAGGTTCGATTCCCACTAAGGGCACGTACCTTGGTTGCAGTTTGTCCCTGGCCCTGGTTGAGTCGTGTGGGAGGCAGTCACTCGATGTGTCCCTTTCATGTCGATGTTTCTCTCTCTCTCTCTCCCCCACTCTATCTGAACAAAAAATGGAAAAGTGTCCTCGGGTGAGGATTAAAAAAAAAAAATTAATTTGCTTAAAAGTTTTTCTTCAATATCTTGGCCAATGTTGGTTGAACTGTAAAATTATACCATCTTCAGTGGGTGCTGTGAAGCAAGTATACATATGGTCTTTGAAGCATACTGAATTGATAAATTACATATCAATAAACTTACTAGTAGCTATGTTAAAAAATAAAAAGGAACAGCCCTGGCCAGTTTGGCTCAGTGGTTAGAGTGTCAGCCTGCAGGCCAGAGAGACCCAGATTCGGTTCCTGCTAAGGGCCCATAACCTCAGCTGCAGTTTTTCCCTGGCCCTGGTTGGGTTGTGCGGGTGGCAGCCATTCGATGTGTCCCTTTCATGTTGATGTTTCTCTCTCTTTTTCTTCTTCTCTCTCCCTCCCACTCTATCTGAACAAAAAATGGAAACATGTCCTCAGGTGAGAATAAAAAAATAAAATAAAAAAATAAAAAGGAACAGGTGAAATTCATTTTAATATGTTGGATATGTTAGGTTAAAGAAAATATATTATTTCAACATATATACAATATAAAAAGTTATTAATGAGATAGTTTGCATTTTTTTTCTTGTTTTTGAAATCTGGTGTGTATTTTGTATTTATATAACATCTCAGTTTGAACAATGTACAGTTCAGGTGCACAGTAAACACCTGTGGCTGGTGGTTAGCCAGCTGGACAGTGCAGTTTTAGAATGTAAGCCTTTCAGATTTGTTGTGAATCTAAGGAGTAAATGTGAAAATATTTGAAAAGTGTTATGTAGTTATAAATTATTATAAGAAATTGTATTATTTTAGGGTTTGTTAATGATAAATAAATCATTTTTGTCCTTATTTGATTAATTCTATATTAGATATTTAGTGATGATTTATTGCAATTAAATAACAAGTATATTTTCTAATGGAAAAATATGTTCACTTTAGTGGATTGCATGTAATAGGCCTGGAGTTTATTTTATTCTATTTTCTAAATAAAATGTGGCTTTTGGTACTTGGCCTACTAGTGTATTAGAGAATTTGAAGCCTTTGAATGGCATTTGGATTGTTACTTGAAAGTATAATTTGGCCTTAGTAATAAGAGCTGTTCTTTCAGTTTATAGTGCTTACCTTTAGAGATAAGTAAGATTAAGAGTGGTATTTCATAAATAAATGAATGCTGTTGGTCAAAAGTTCAAAAGGAAAACACAAATAATTACTGGGGATATGATAAGTCCTCAGAAATGACATGGGGAAAACATTTCAGAAGCCTGTCAGTTTTAAACATAAAATTTTGAATAAACCTTTGTGATGAAATTGTTTTGGCTAAAGGGTCTAATATCCTTTATTGGTTTTTTTTGTTGTTGTTAATCTTCACCTGAGGATATTTTTTCCATTGATTTTTAGAGAGAGTGGAAGGGAGGGAGAAAGAGAGAGAGAGAGAGAGAGAGAGACAGGCAGGCAGGCAGACAGACATTGATGTGGGAGTGACACGTTGATTGGTTGCCTCCCACACTCCCTAACCTTACTGTGCCCTGGACTGGGAATCAACTCTTCCATGTGCGGGCAGAAGCTCTTACCACTGGGTCACACTGGCCAGGGCTTTTTTCATTGATTTTTAGAGAGTGTATCTGAAGAGAAAGAAGCCTTTTGGAATTCTTATTCTTGTTCATCTCTAGATAAGGTGTTTCTCTCTTGAGGCTTTTTTCAAGATTTCCTTTGTCTTTGGTTTTCTGTTCTTTGAATATGGTATTCTTAAGTGTAGATTTCTCCAACTTTATCCTGCTTTGTGTTATCTGGACTTCCTGGATGTGTAGTTTTGGTGTATGTTATTAATTGTAGAAAATTCTCCAGCATTATTACTTCAGATGTTTCTTCTGCTCTGTTTCCTCTTTTTTCCTTTCCTGGAATTCCAATTACAGATATGTTATATCTTTTGAAATTATTTAACAGTTTGTATACATTCTGTTTTTTCCTTTTTTAATTATTTTTTTCCTCTTTGCATTTTAGTTTGGGAAACTTCTGTTGACCTATCTTCAAGCTTACTGATTCTGTCCTTTGCAGTGTCTAGTCTGCTGTTAAACCTACCAATGGCCTCCTTTATTTCTGTTACAGTATTTTTGATTTTTAGTATTTCTTTTTGATTATTCCTTAGAGTTTTCATCTGTTTACTTTACCCACTGTTCTTGCATGTTTATCACTCATAACATATTAGTCATAATTATTTTAAATTCCCTGTCTGCTTTCAAAATATATGTTATATTTGAATCCAGCTCTGATGCTTGCTTTGTCTTTGTGTTTTGCCTTTTAAAAGCATGATATGTAATCTGTTTACTGAAAGTTGGACTTGATGTATTAGATAATAGGAGCTAAATAGGAGCTAAGGTAAATAGGTCTTTAGTGTGAGGTCTTATATTAATCTGGTTAGGAGTTGTACTTTGTTTAATATTTACTCTAGCTGTAGATGCCAGAGGCTTCAAATTCCTTTAGTATCCTTGTTTTTGTCTCTTGTTATATTTGGGTTTCCCTAAGAACTCTTTCTTCATAGTATCTGCATTGTGCAACTCTCTCAGCAGTCATTAACTCTTATCATACTGGAGCTCCATTGGTGTGGTGGTGAGGTGTAGGGAGAGAAAGCATCCTATACTCTTAGAATTAAATTTCAAGCTTTTAGTGTCCTGGGACTGTGACCAATCATTAAAAGTCTTTCTTAGTCATCCCCCCCTCACCAACAGAATGGTAAGAAGGGTCTGGCATCTGAGATGGGATAAGCCTTTCCTTGGAGAGTATGTCTCTGTTATGTTATGGAAAAATGCTCTGGTTCTTGGTTATTTCACAATGATTACTTTTTCCTTCCCCCTTATCAGAGCTACAAAGACATCTTTAAGGCTCCTGATTATGAGAACCTGATGGGGTTCCTGGAAGTAAAACCCACAAAAGTGTGGGGTCCTAAGACTACAGTCCCTAGAAGTTTCCCACTTTCATGATATTCCACACTCAGCCTCCAGGAATTCATTAAAATTATCATTTAAGTGTTTGTGGTGGTGGATTGACTTTTTGTTCCCAAAACGATAATGTTCAGGTTCTAATTCTTGGTAAGTATAAGTGTGACATTATTTGGAAATAGAATCTTTGAAGATGTTACTAAGGATCTGAACATAATGTCATCCTAGATTTAGGATTGGCCATAAATCCAGAGATTGGTGTCCTTGTTGAAAGTAAGGAGAAGATGATCTGAGGAGGCAGAGATATTATAAGGAGAAGGCCATGTGCAAATGAAGGCAGAGGTGAGGCAGAGGTTGGAATTATGCAAGCCAAAGAATTATCAAGAGATTGCTGGTAGCTCCCAGAAGCCAAGATAGAGGTGTGGAGCAATTTTTTTAAAAAAATTATTGTTTTGTTAATCCTCACCCGAGGATATTTTTCGGTTGATTTTTAGATAGAGTAAAAGGGAGGGAGGGAAGGAGAGAAGCATCAATGTGAGAGACGTATTGATTTGTTGCCTCCCGCACAACCCCGACCAGGCCAGGATTGAACCTGCTACCCAGGTTTGTGCCCTTGAACAGGAATTGAATCCATGACCCTTCAGTCCATGGGCTGACATTCTAAGCGCTGAGCCAAACTGGTCAGGGCTGTGGAGCAGTTCAGTGTTCCTCCCAGTTTATGGCTCTAGTGGTTGCTACTGGAGGTGATCTAGTAGATGCTGGCTGTGACTCTGAATATTCCTGTCTCTCCATATCTTGAAGTGGTGGTTTGCCCTGTGTCCTCAATTATTTGATGGGTTGAAGGAAAGTTATTGATTTTCAGTTTGTTTGGCTTTTTTCTTGTAATTGTGAGCGTGACAGCGTCTGAATTTTGTACATGTTGGAGCCGAAACTAAGTCTAAAGTTTAAAAAAATTTTTTATTGATTGACTTTGGAGAGAGAGGAAGGGAGAAAGAGAAAAAATATATAGAAACAGTGATTTGTTGTTCCACTTATTATTTATGTGTTTATTGGTTGACTGTTGTATGTGCTCTGACCTGGGACTGAACCCACAACCTTGGTGTTTCTGGACGACACTCCAACAAATTGTGCTTCTCAGCTAAGGTCTCAATATTTTTTTTGTTTATTTGGTATTTTTATACTCTATTATTTTAGTGATTACTACATGCATTCTTAACTTTAAAGAATCTAATGCTAGTTGATACCTTTATTCTCCTTCTATACACCATGCAAAGATCGTAGTATAAGGTTGTTTTAATCTTCACACGAGGACATGTTCATTAATTTTAGAGAGAGAGGAAGAAAAAAAGAGAAACATCGATTGGTTGCCTTCTGTATTGCCCCAGTCAGAAATCTGACCTGAAACCTAGGTATGTGCCCTGATTGGGAATGGAATCCACAACCTTTTGGTGCATGGGACATTGCTCCAACCAACTGAGCCACACTGGTCAGGGTGACCTTAGAATACTTTTTACTCCTGACTTTTATACTGCTGCTGTTATTTTAATAATCCTCTTCCTTATCTTCCCCTTCCTCCTCCCCAATCCCCCCTCCCTTAGTTTCAGTTGTGTAATACGATTTGATATTTATATATATTGCCAAATAATCACCACAGTAAGTCTAGCCAACATTTATTACTAATATACATAGTTAAAAATTTTTTCTTGTAAAGAGAGTTTTTAAAATTTACTCTTAGCAACTTTCAAATATACAGTACAGTATTATTAACTATAGTCACCATGCTGTATATTATTTAATTATCTTATAATTGGAAGTTTGTACCTTTTGACTACTTTCACTCATTCCCCCCTTTCCCAGCAACCACCAGTCTGTTCTCCCATCTGTGAGCTCATTTTTTGTGTGTGTGAAAAAAATTTTTTTTCGTCCAGCCGGTGTGGCTCAGTGGTTGAGCGTCGCCCCATGCACCAAGAGGTCCCTGGTTCAATTTCCGGTGGGACACATGCCCAGGTTGTGGGCCTGATTCCCAGCGGGGGACATGCAGGAGGCAGCCAGTCGATGTTCTCTCTCATCAATGTTTCTGTCTCTCTCTCCCTCTCACTTCCTCTCTCTCTCAAATCAATAAAGGAAAAAATAAAAATTAAAAAAATATATTTTCTTTCTTTATTGCTTTTAGAAAGAGAGAGATAGAAACATGAGAGAGAACATTGATTGGCCACCTCCTGCATGCCCCCCAACTGGGGATTTGGCCCATGACCTGGGTATGTGCCCTGACGGGGAATCAGACAGGCGACCTCTTGGTGCACAAGTTGACACTCAACCACTGAGCCACACCAGCTGGGCTGTGTGTGTGTTTATTAAATTAATTTTTAAGATTTCTGGGGTTTTTTTTGGCAATAGTTGTGCCTGGGATAAACCTCATTGGCTACAGTACTGCCACCACGCAGAGCTAAGATTTCACATATAAATGAGATCTTATGATATTTGGATATTTGTTTTTCTGTGTCTGACTTATTTCACTTAGCATAATGTCCTCAGTTCCATCCATGTTGATGCAGGTGGCAAGATTTCCTTCTTTTTTGTTAATCCTCACCGTAGGGTTTTCCACTGATTTTTAGATTGTATTGAGGGAAGGGGGGGAGGGAGGGAGAGAGAGAGGAACATCAGTGTGAGAGAGACACATTGATTGGTTGCCTTCTGCATGACCCCAACCAGGGCTAGAGATTGAACCTACAACACAGGTACATGCCCTTGACCAGAAATTGAACCTGAGACCCTTCCGTTTGCCGGCTGATGCTTTAACTGCTGAGCCATTTTTGCCAAGGCTTTTTCCTTTGTTTTTTATGGCTGAATAGTATTCCGTTGTATATGTATACATATCACTATTTTTTTTAATCCATTCATTCAGTGGTGGAAGCTTAGGTTGTTTTCATGTCTTAGCTTTTTATAAATAATGCTGCTTTTTATCATGGGGGTACATATAACTTTTCAAGTTAATTTTTTATCTTTTTTGGATAAATACTCACAAGTGGATTTGTTTGATCATATGGTAGTTCTGTGTTTAATTTTTGAGGAACACTATATTGTTTTCTATAGTGGATGTACCAATTTACATTCCCACCAACAGTGCACAATTTAGATTGCTTTCTTCACACTTTAAAAATAGCCCTGGCCAGTTTGGCTCAGCAGTTAGAGTGTCGGCCTGGGGACCAATGAGTTGTAGGTTCAATTCCAGTCAAGGGGACACGTACCTCGGTTGCATTTGGTCTCCAGCCCTCGTCGGGGTTGTGCAGGAGGCAATCAGTTGATGTGTCCCTCTCACGTCGATGTTTCTCCCCGTCTCTCCCTCTCTTTCTACCTGAAGATAAATAGAAAAATATCCTCGGGTGAGGATTAAAAAAATAAATAAACTAATAAGTACCTAAAGTAATTAATCTAAATATCTCTTTTTCAGTTGTAAACACATTTGAAATGAAAGATGAGTAAGTAATCCACATCTAGAGACTTTAATCTTAAACAGTTAGTTTGGTAACAGAGTGGGTCAGGTGGAAGAGCCATTAATGATAGATAATACTGCAGTGTTTATCAGTATGTATAGCTCCAATTTTTATGTAGTCAACATTTATTTCTTCACTTTAAGCAAACCCCTTTCTTAATTTAGTCAAGCACAATTGTTTTAAATGGTGGAGTGTTGTTTATTTACTTTCCAGTATACCGGTTTTCAGTGAAGGAGTGAGTTTTTTAAAACGTAGAGGGTGTTAATTCCGGGAGTGATGGCCTGCACGTAGTTGGGTAGCAAACTCTTGAATCAAATACAATTTTATTTAATTAGTTTTAACTTTTAAGTTACATAATGTCTGGTTAGTATAGTTTTTTTAGTCACTTATTTTTACCCAATTCATATATTTTTATTGTAGAAAAGTGCTAAGGTATGAGTTAACCATTTACAAGACTGCCCTCATGTTCTATAACATGCTAGAAGGACTCACAGAACTTATTGAAAGCTGTCATGCTCCATGCTCTGGTTTATTACAGTAATAGGATACAGATTAAAATTGGCCAAGGGAAGCAAAGCATGGGGCGGAGTCCGGGAGGGTTCCAGGCGTGGAGCTTCCTGTGGACTTCTCCCCAGAATCATGGGCAGTATTAACTCCGCCTGGCAATGATGTGTGATAATATGCAGAGTACTGCCGACCAGGGAAGCTCACCAGAGCCTTGGGGTCCAGTTTTACTGAGAATATATAGTTGACTGCCCATGTGACTGACTTAGTCTCTAGCCACTCCAGTGGTAGAATTGATATTGCATGACCCAAAGCCCCTGGCATAATTACATTGTTAGAGCGTTTGGTGAAGTTTCCAGGTAAATAAAGGTATCAAAGGAACACCAAGGTCCCCACATATACAAAAACACTCTTCCTAGAGATCCCATCCCAGAGATGAGGCAAGGTCCAGACCTCTCTTTTGGGTAAGACTAATTCTTTACTGAAGATGAAATAAAAGGAGTTAATAAACAGCATCTCAGATCCCTTCAGATGTCTATTAACATTTTGGAATGTAGTTCTTTATAATTTTCTTTAGATATTGGATTGTCTGGATTGATCATCTGTGTCTTATCTTTACTTTCATATTTTATTTATGTCTCTGCTTGACCTTTTTTGGAAAATTTTCTTTTCTTTTTCTACCTCCCCCCCAAATTAATATGACGTATTAGAAGACACAAATTTCTAAATACTTTGTTTTTTTCCATGGCATTCTATTTAAATTTCATGAACTTGATTACAGGCATACATCATTTTATTGTGCTTTGTTTGTGCTTCACAGATACTTTTTCCCACAAATTGAAGGTTTGTGGCAACCCTGTGTTAAGCAAATCTATTGGCGCCTTTTTTTATCATTTATTTTTTATTGTTGACATTATTTCAGATGCCCCTATTTTCCCCCCACTTGCCCCCTTTACCCAGCCCCCACCCCACCCCAGGTCTTTACCACACAGTTGTCTGTGTCCATGAGCTATGCATATATGCATATAAGTTCTTTGGTTTATCTCTTCCCGTACTTCCCACCCCCTTCCCTTCTGAGATCTGTCAGTCTGTTCCATGTATCCATGCCTCTGGACCGATTTCATCAGTTTATTTTGTTCATTAGCTTCCACATATAAGTAAGATCATGTGATATTTGTCTTTCTCTGACTGGATTATTTCACTCAGCATAATGGTCTCCAGGTCTATCCATGCTGTCTCAAAGGGTAAGAGAGCCTTCTTTTTTATAGCTGCATAGTATTCCATTGTGTAAACGTCCCACAGCTTTTTTGTCCACTCATCTACTGATGGGCACTTGGGCTGTTTTCAGATCTTAGCTATTATAAATAGCTATGTTCATACTGTTATGAACATAGGGGAGTATATATTCTTTCTGATTAGTGTTTTGGGATTCTTTTTTTTTAATCCTCACTGAGGACATTTTTTTTTTATATTTTGTTCAGATAGAGTGGGAGGGAAAGAGAGAGAGAGAGAGAAACATCGACGTGAAAGGGACACATCGAGTGGCTGCTACCCGCACAACCCAACCAGGGCCGGGGACAAACTGCAACTGAGGTACGTGCCCTTAGCGGGAACCAAACCGGTTCCATGGACACAGGCCGACGCTCAAACCGCTGAGCCAAACCGGCCAGGGCGGGATTCTTTTGATATATTCCCAGAAGTAAGATCATTGGGTCAAACACCACTTCCATTTTTACTTTTTTGAGGAAACTTCATACTATTTTCCACAGTGGCTGCACTAGCCTGTATTCCTACCAGCAGTGTACTAGGGTTCCCTTTTCTCCACATCTTTGTCAACACTTGTTGTTTGTTAATTTGTTGATGATAGCCATTCTGGCAAGTGTGAGGTGATGCCTCATTGTAGTTTTAATTTGCATCTCTCTGATGATTAGTGATGTTGAGCATTTTTTCATATGTCTATTGGCCACCTGTATGTCCTCTTTGAAGAAGTGTCTATTTAGGTTCTTTAATCAGCACCATTTTTTAAACATTTGTTCACTTCATGTCTTTCACATTTTGGTCATTCTCTTAATATTTCAAACTTTTTAGTTATACATTTTACGGTGATCTGTGGTCAGTGATCTTTGATATTACTATTGTAATTGTTTTGAGGTGCTTTGAATCACACCCATATAAGATTTCAAACTTAATTGATAAATGTGTGTGTTCTGACTGCTCCCCCGACCAGCTGTTCCTGGTCTTCTTTTCCTGGGCCTTCCTTTTTCCTGAGACACACCAATATTGAAATTAGGCCAGTTTAATAATCCTGCAATGGCATCTAAGTGTTCAAGTGAAAGTAGGAGTAACATGTCTTTTATTTTAAATCAAAGGCTAGAAAAGTTTAGTAAGGAAGGCATGTTAGTCAGAAGCCAAGATAGGCCCAAAGCTAGGCTTCTTGTGCTTAGCCAAGTTTTGAATGCAAAGGAAAAGGTCTTGAAGGAAATTAAAATCGCTACTCCAGTGAATACCTGAATGGTAAGAAAGTGAAAAAAGCCTTATTGCTGATATGGACAAAGTTTTAGTGGTCTGGATAAGAGATCAAACCAGCCATAACGTTCCTTTAATCCAAAGCCTAATTCAGAACAAGGCCCTGCTCTTCAATTCTTTGAAGGCTGAGAGGTGCGGAAGCCGCAGAAGAAAAGTTTGATGCTAGCAGAGGTTCACGAGGTTCAAGAAAGAAGCTGTCTCCATAACATATAAGTGCAAGGTGAAGCAGCAAGTGCCGATGTAGGAGTTTCAGCACATTATTCAGAGATTTAGCTAAAATAATGAAGGTTGGTTATATAAACAACAGATCTTCAGTGTACATGAAGCAGCCTTGTATTGGAAGAAGATGCCATCTAGGATTTTAATAGCTAGAGAGGAGAAGTCAGCCTGGCTTCAAAGGACTGTCTTGTTTGGAACTAACAGCAACTGGTGATTTTAAGTTGAAGCCAGTGCTCATTTGCCGCTATGAGAATTCTAGGGCCCTGAATAATGATGCTAAATCTCCTCTGCCTGTGCTCTATAAAAGGAACGATAAAGCTGGGATGACAGCATATCTGTTTACAAACATGCTGTACTGAATATTTTCAGCCCATTGTTGAGACTTACTGCTCAGAAAAAAAAAAGATTTTTTTTAAGCTATTACTGCTTATTGATAATGCACCTCCTCACCCAAGACTTCTGATGGAGATGTACAAAGAGATTCATGTTTTCGTGCCTGCCAATACAACGTTCATCCTATAGCCCGTGGGTCAAGGAGTAATTTTGACCTCCAAGTCTTATTATTTAAGAAATACATTTTATAAGTCTATATGTCTATAGCTGTCTGGATAGTGATTTCTCTGATAGAACTGGGCAAAGTAAATTGAAAACCTGGAAAGAATTCACCATTTTAGATGTCATTAAGAACATTTTGAATTCAGGGAAAGAGATCAAAATATCAACATTACCAGGAGTTTGAAAGAAGTCGATTACAACCAATGTGGGTGACTTTGACGAGTTCGGGACTTCAGTGGAGGACGTAACTAGACATGATGGAAGTAGTAAGAGAACTACAACTAGAAGTGGACCCTGAAAATGTGACTTAATTGCTGCAATTTCATGATAAAACTTGAACAGATGAGTTGTTTCCTGTGCATGAGCAGTGTTTTCTTTTTCTTTTTTAAATATATTTTTTAATGGATTTCAGCGAGAAAGAGAAAAAAAAATCAATGTGAGAGAGAAACATCAGTTGGTTGCTTCCCTTATGTGCCCTGACCATGTATCAAACCCTCAACCTGGGTACATGCCCTGACTGGGAATTGAACCTGCCACCTTTTGGTGTATGGGATGATGCTCCAACCAACTGGGCCACACGGGCCAGGGAGGAAAGTATTTTGAGATGGAATGTACCTCTGGTGAGATGCTATGAAGATTATTGAAATAACAAAGAACTTAGAATATTACATAAACTAGTTGATAAAGTGGGCAGGGTTTGAGAGGCTTGACTCCAATTTTGAAAGAAGTTCTGTGGGAAAAAATGCTATCAAACAGCATTGCAGCCTACGGAAAAATTGTTTCTGAAAGGAGGAGTCATTTGATATGGCAGACTTCATTGTTGTCTTATAAGAAATTGCCACAGCCATCACAGTCTGTAGCAGCCACCACCCAGTCAGTCAGCAGCTGTCAGCGTGGAGGCCGGACACTCCACCAGCAAAAAGATAACTCACCAAAGGCTCAGGTAATATTTAGATTTTTTTAGCAGTAAAGATTTTTTTTTTTATTCTTGCCAGAGGATTATTTTTCACTGATATTTAGAGAAAGAAGAAGGGAGAGAGAAACATTGATGTGAGAGAGAAACATCCACTAGTTGCCTCCCATCCACACCCCAACTGGGCTGGGGGATGAGCCTGCAATCCATAATCCAACCATGAAAATTTTTAATATGTTTTTATTGATTTTTTAGAGAGAGAGGGGAAGGGTGAAAGAGTTAGAAACATCAATGAGAGAGAAACATCTATCGGCTGCCTCCTTCATGCCCCCTACTGAAGATAAGCCTGAAACCTGGGCATATGTGCCCTGACCAGAAATCGAACCAGGCCCCCTCACTCATTCCATGGGACGAGCTCAATCCACTGAACCACACCAGCTGGGCCAACCATAACATTTAAGAGATTAACTAACATTCATACATGTATGGACTCATGGTTTCTTACTTTAGTCAATGGGGTATATATTCTCTTACTGTCATTTATTTTGATGCTCAAGTTTTCCTGATATGGCTAGTAGGAGCCTTTATAGTATCACTTCTCTGTGTCCTTTGGCATCACCTCATCTTTGAGAACATCTTTGCTTTCTGGCCCAACACCATGTTCCAGGCTTATTTTGTACTTTTCCTGCCTTAGCCCTGGAATTGCCTGTCTTCCCAGGATTTCTAGTTCCTTTTAGTAAAAAGCAGATAGGAAATTATGTTGATAGGACTTAGAATTTTGTTTCAGAATTAGCAGGTGGGGAGCTGCTCATGGCTCTGGAAACCTTTAAATTCTGGAAATCAGTAGTCATTTCTCTAAGAAACAAACATTCATCCTTAGTAGCTATACTGGTTCCCCCAGACTGTGTGTGTGTGTGTGTGTGTGTGTGTGTGTGTGTGTGTGTGAGAGAGAGAGAGAGAGAGAGAGAGAGAGAGATATTGAGATTAACACATTAGTTTTTGCTTTAGGAGAAAAGTACCGGCCAATTTAACATTATTGTCTTTGAGCTGTTATGGTTGATAATGGGTACCAGCTCTTCATATGGAGATGAATTTCCCTATTTTCAGCTTTACATTTCCCTTTTGCTGAATTTCTAGCCTTTCTGGAGTTCTGCAGAGCAGTTTGGTATCTCATTTATAGTTTCTTAAGTTCTCTGGGCTTCCTATATTCCTGGCTTTATCTTTTTTCAGAAATTAAAAGAAAATTGGCTCCCTTTTGAAGTTGGGATGTTTTCAGCTGCAGATAGAAATACTGACTAAAATACACTTAAAAGTTAAGTTAAAACTACTTCTATAACAAGAAATCTAAAGGTATTGTAATTCTGGGTTTGGTTAATATAATAAAGATCCAGGTTACTTTCATCTTCTCTTTTATCCTAATCAGACCTGCTCTTTATCTTGTCTCAAATAGTGACAGTTTGGGCCATTGCATTCTCACCAAAGAACAACCAAAGTGTAGGAGGACATTCCTTCTCTGTATTTTGTATTTAAGATCAAATAAAACCTTTCCAGAACTCTGGCTCACATCTTACTGGTCAGAATCCATCCATCACATGTATTTCAAAACCCATCAGAGTGTGTGTGTATGAAATTACTATAAATCAGCTGTCTTTAGACCTTTACCTCTGACCAGCAGCATTGGGTATCCTGGGACCTGCTTAATCAGAGTCTGCATTTAAACAAAATTACCCAGGTCAACAAAATGACTTCTGCAAGTAAATAAGATGACTTGATTGTGCATTAGTATTTGAGAAGTATTGGTCTTGACTAGTCAAGAATTAAACCCCTGGGACTGAGTGAAGCCTCACTTGTAAAAGTACAGGGTCTCAAAATACCTGAACATAAAGGTTCATGAGAAAGGAAGGAGGGGCAGTCAGTATGGGAATGGCTGTATTGGTTTGACAACCAACAGTGTCTGCTCACATTCCTTTTTCTTTTTTTTTTTGGTTGTAAGTTTTGCATATGTATGTGTTTTTTTTGTTTGTTTGTTTTTTTATCATTCTTATGAGAGGAAGAAAGGAATGGTGGAGGTATGGCTAGTCTGCCATCTGAGTAGGAAATCTGTTACTGCTTTTCTTATTGAGCCCTATAAAATATATATATGGTATGCATAAATCATGTCCTATCATCTAAAATCTGACACTTAAAGGAGGAGAAATATGGATTCTTATGAACCTTAATTTTAGAGTGTATTCATATTGTTCTGTGACAATATTGCCACAGACTTAGCAGTTTAAAACGATGTGCATTTATATCTCACTAATTTTTGTGATTCAGCAGTCTGGGCATGGCTAACTGGTCCTCTGCAAGACTGCAGTCAAGGTGTTGGCCAAGGGTTTTCAACCGGAGAAGGATCCAAGCTGACATGGTTGTTGGCATCATTCAGTTCCCTGTGGGCTGTTGGACTTTGGGCCTCAGTGTTTTGCTGGCTGTCAACTGTAGACCTCCCTCAGGTGATTGCATGTCATCCTCTCCTTAGGCCAGCTCACAACATGGTGGCTTGCATCTTCAAAGCCAGCAAATGAGTGTCCTAGGAAGATGGACATTGCAATCTTATGTCACATACGAGCCATCATGTTTGTCATATTATGTTGGTTAGAAATCAGTTACTGGTCATGTTCGCATTCAAGGAGAGAGACTATCAAGAGATGGGATCTTGGGGACCAACTTAGAGTTAGTCTGTTCCTAATACAAAGGGTATATATCTGACTATAAGAACCGATGGCCTGAGTTATACATTGTATTGAGCCTTCTACTTAAAACTCGTACTGTGCTTTATACTAAGGTGATCAAGAAATTTGCTGATATAGCCAAATATTTAAAACCATCGAGATAAGCCTTGATGATATGTTTATTGTTGCTAAACAGGTTCCTTAGTTTAGTAATAGGTTTAATAGTATTTTATGAGTTAAGTTTTAGACATTAATTTATTTATTTGTTTTGTTTTGTTTTTTAGTTGACTATATTGTGGAGTTTGACTATGATGCTGTACATGATGATGAATTAACTATTCGAGTTGGGGAAGTCATCCGGAATGTGAAAAAACTACAGGAGGAAGGATGGCTAGAAGGAGAACTAAATGGGAGAAGAGGAATGTTTCCTGATAATTTTGTTAAGGTAAGTATTTTAGTTAATTTCTAGCTGTTGCTTCATAGGAGTTAATTTTTAACATTATACCTTAATGTTATATATAAATATAACTAAAATGTTTTAGATAAATTTTTATTCTGCAGAATTAAAACACTAGAGGTCCACGTACCTCTAATAGATGTCATTGTTTCTTGGTGTCCTGGTAAATAACAACAAGTTATGTGTTTGTGTATATCTGTATGTATGTATCTACCTATTTATCATTGTAAATAAATAAGTAGTAGTTTACATTTGGGTAGCACTTCATAATTTACAGAGAAGTTTTGCTGTGAAATTCTTACTTGAGCCTTCAGAAGTCTTGTGAAGTAAGTAGGGCAGATGATAGCTCTGTTCTAAATATGGTGATGTACAGGCTGAGAGGTTAACTGGTTTACCCAATGTCGGATAGCTAGTAAGACATAGAATCTGAACTGGAATCCAGGATTATTGCCTCTAAGTCGTATTGTATCTTGTTGCTTTCCAGCATTGCAGCAGTTAATCTATCAAAGTAACAGTTTCGCTTCAACTATAACCAAACATTCCTTTCCAGTAAATATTCTAGAAACCTCTGCCAGAAAACACTAAACTCTATTACAATCTAATAAAATTAGTAGTAATTTAAGAGAAGGAAAATAAAGAATATATGTATATTTACACTTGATTTACAATTGTCTTCTTTTCTACATTAGTTTTCTTATGCTCAACCGTATCCCTAGCCTAATCAGATTGTGAGTTCTTCTGGGAAGGCTAGTGTGTGTGTGTCTCATTTATTTGTTTAACTTGTTCAGTAGTTTTAAGTAAATATTTGTTCCCTGAATCCATTTGTGTTTATTTTAGTTGTGGTTTTACCTCTAAGTATGAATGCATACTTGATTGTGTTAATTGATTTTAAAGAAGGTGAACTAACTACATTTTGTCTCTTGAAACAACTAAGAAAAGTTGTTTTGAACTTTTGGAGGAAGGGAATTGAATTTATTGAGGAAGGTCACTTTTGTTCTTATTTTTGTTTCATAAAATGACTTCTTTTTATAACCTAAAATGAAGTGTAATGTAGGGTGTGGTATAGGGCAAATCACATAATTTCCGTTTTCATCTCTTTAAAATCGAAATTGATGTTGTATGTTGTATACATAGTAAGCCATGACACTGGTCTCTCCTCTCTCCCTTTCCCTCCCTCTCCCTTTCCCTCCCCTCCCAATGGAAAGTGGCTTTTCAAGAGAAAGTACAGTTGACTATTAAACAAAGCAAAGGGTAGGGGTGCTGATCCCCTCTTCCCCTCACACAGTTGAAAATTCATGTCTAAGGTGATTTCCCAAAAATGTAACCACTAAGAACCAACTGTTCACTGGAAGCCTTACTGATAACATGAACAGTCAATTAATACATACTTTGTATGTTATATGTATTATATATTTTATTCTTATAACAAAGTAAACTAGAGAAAAGAAAATATTATGAAAATCATAAGAAAGAGAAAGTATGTTTACAGTATTTATTGAAAATATTGTGTCTAAGTGGGCCTGCACAGTTCAAATGTATGTTGTTCAAGGGTCAGTGAATATTAAAGTAATAGAACACTGGCTAAAAAAATCAATAAATTTTTATACAGTTTTAATTGTGTGCTGATGTGTAGTTCCAGCACTGAGATGACCTTTTATGGTTGTATTTTACTTTCCTGTTTCAGTAAAACTAATACTAGAACGTGAGTTTAATGAACTGCCTGCTAATAGAGGATGCAGTTGGAGGATGGTAGGTATTAGAGGGAAGCTCAGTCTCAGATGAAAAATGAACCACAGAATTAGCGTCAGAGACATTAGTAGATGAAAAATGAACCACAGAATTAGCGTCAGAGACATTAGTAGATTAAAAATGAACCACAGAATTAGCGTCAGAGACATTAGTATGAACTTGTGTTTAGTTTAAAATATGTGCTAATACATACAGAAATAATTATGTGTGTGCTTATACTTGAGTTAGTACACATACATGCATTTCTCAGCTCTTTCTGCTAAGAGGCTCTAGAAGCAGTGACACCTTAGTAGACAGCCAATGCCCAGATCTTTTTTTTGTTTTTGGTAATCCTCACCTAAGGATGTTTTTCCATTGAGTTTTAGGTAGAGTGGAAGGGAAGGAGGAAGGAAGGGAGGGAGAGAGAGAAGCATTGATGTGAGAGAGACATATGAACTGGGTTGCCTCTTGCACGGCCCCAACCAGGGCTGGGGATTGAACCTGCAACCCAGGTACCTGCCCTTGGGAATTGAACTCGAGACCCTTCAGTCCTCAGGCTGAAGTTCCAACCGCTGAGTCAAATCAGTCAGGGTCCAGATCTTGATTTCTAAATGTTCTGCAATAAAAGGAAGCAGGACTCCTTGGAGAAATGGCTGATTTTAGGGCTGGAGTAACGATACTACAAGATGACAGTAGAGCATCTAGTAGTGCCAGAAAGAAAGGAAGGAAGTTTCTTGAAAAACCAAAATGATGGGCCCATGTCAAGACAACATAGAAGCCAAGCTGAAAGAGTTCCCAGTGTCCAGAGCAGCAACAATATGAGCAACAAAATAACTTAGTATTTGATGATTGCCCAAAGTAAAGCATCAATATACATGATTCCATGTTGATATATAAATAAGTGGTTGAGTAAATAAATAGAGAAGGGATGAATCTTACAGAATTATTCTAAAAATTTGTAGATACTTCTTCTTACACCCTCCCTTCTCAACCTCCTGCCCCCTTCAGAAGCATCCCTCAAGACTAGAGAATAGATGGAAGAAAATAATAGATGGAAGAAAATTTCACAATGGAGAAATCTGGCAAATACTACCATAAACAAGTGATAAATGATAACATCATGAGTTATAAATTATGTTGTTAATATGTGTTTCCTTTACCTCTGTGGTATTTATTCTTGCTCTAAATTTATAATCCCATTTAAAGTTTGAGAAGAAAGCATCAGGCAAACCTAAATTGAACATTCTATGAAAAACCTGGCCCAGTACTCTTCAAAAAATTTCAAGGTCATGAAATCTAAGGAAAGACTAAGAAACTGATGTTGATTGGCCAGAGAAGACAAAGGAAACATGATGATCAAATGCCTTGTGGTGCCCCAGATTGGATTCTGGAACAGAAAAAGGATGGTATTCGTAGAAAAAAGAATGAAATCTGTATCAAGTCAGTAGTTCACTTAATAGTAATAATTGGCTTTAGCATCTCAGATGTATATGTGAAGAATCAAGGGAAGGTTATAGTTTATAATAATTCACTGTCCACTTGAAAATAAGCCTTTCAGCAGGACATTAAGGTACACTTGTTATTTTGTAAATGTGAGACTGTGGAGCGAGTGGTAGAACTAGGCTTCCTGTGGAAAACTCACATCCCTGTTAATGTTTCAGATACCTATACTGAAGGGTAATGAATGATATTCAAATTGGGCTGGAAGGTGGATAGAAAGGTCAAATCATTTTTGCAGCCTATTATAGAACACTTTTTTTTTCTTTATTGATTTTAGAGAGAGAGGAAGGGAGAAGGGGAGAGAAATAGAAACATCCATGAGAGAGAACATCATTTGGCCGCCTCCTGCATGACCCCCCACTCGGGACCGGGACAACAACTTGGGCATGTACCCTGACCGGGAATTGAACTGGTGACCTCTTGGTGCATAGGTCGAAGCTCAACCAGTGAGCCACACGGGCCAGGCTATAGAACACTATTAAGTTTGTTTTGTGACAGACATGTTTATTTCAGTGTCCTTTGCAATGTTAGTTCATCTTTCATGATTTAAAAAATAATTTATAAAGAATATGAGAATCTGAAAAATGGCGGTGGAGTGAATGGAGCTACACAGACCATCTCGCAGGACCAAACTGGATTTACAACGAAAATAAAGGCAAATCGTCAGGAAGGGGCAACCGAAAAACACCTTGGAGGACCACATAGCCAGGGACACCGACTCAATCCTGGTAGGCTTGCGAGGATGCGAGAGGGGGCCGGGGGCCCACGGTCCGCAGCGGCCTGGGCAGGGACCAGGGGACTTGGCGGGAAGTTGCTGCTACCGCCTCGGCTGCGACCCCACCTGAGTCCTGCGAACTCTGCTGCCTGCTAAGCCCTCGGCTGGTGCCGCACGGACTGGCACGGACGGGCTGCAACCAGGGGACTCGGCGGGAGGCTGTTGCCGCCCCGGCTGCGAACCTGGCTGAGTCCTGCGAACTCTGCGTGCTAAGCCCTTGGCTGGTGCCGCAGGGACTCGCTGGGTCCAGGGGACTCTGCTGGAAGCTGCTGCCACCTCCGTAGTGTCCTGCTACCGCGGCTTAGTCCTGGGACTTTTGCTGAGTGCAACGCCCTCGGCTGGTGCCACAGCCGTGGCCGCCCTTGGCTGGAAGCAGCGCCCTCAGGTTAAAAGTCCCAGGCGGCTCCACGACGCAGTCTAGACAGAGGCTAAATTGGAAGCAGCCACTCACCTTGGGCTCCGGCAGAGGGAAGACAGACTGGACTGGAACTGTGTGGGGACACTCGAGTTTTGGAGGGTGCTAAGAGCTTTTGCTGAGTGCAGCCAGGCAGGACTGTGGTCATTTTACTCCTTCCCAGGGCCCTGGGGAGAGGCTGAGGCCCCTCCCTTAGAGATTCAACCCCACCTGGTGGCCATTGAAATGCCAATTGAGGCCCATTAACAACCAGCAGCTGCCCCGCCCTCGGGAAATCCTCTTACACTGAGCACCTGAGAGAGTTTTTCAGGCAACTCAGAAACCAAGGGTTTTCAGGTGACCTCTACTAATAGCCTCCAGGCAAAAAAAGCTAGAGGATAACTACCATTCCCTGGGCTAGCAACACTAACCAGAAAAGCTAAGACTTGACGGTGGTGTTTAAAGTGGTTCCTCCCTTGTTCATCCAAACCCAGGAGAGGGAGCCACAAACAGCAGAACACCAACACCCACAGGGAAAATTTGGCAGACTCCAAAGCCCACTGTGATAGCCAAAATGGTGAAAAACAGAAA